AGATCGCTCCCGAGGTATGGGAAGTCCTCCACTCTTTCGATGGTTTCTCCATGGCCGTCCACGATCAGCTCTGCACCCATCTTCCAGAACTCAGGAACTTGGCCTCCTTGATAGTCAGCCACCAAATTCACTAGTGTCTTACTCTTAGAAAGGAAATGGTCCAACTTCGGCTGTTGTGAAATGGCACCTTCTTCCACGGTAAGAACTTCCTCAGTAAAGCTGACTCCAGGTTATACCTTTAAGCTGTTGATATGTGCATCATTCTGATTTTCTGGTGAAGGTGATCGCTCTCCGAAAATTACCATCACTTTTAACTTTACAAGTTCTAGGCTGGCAACAGAGGAGCACCTAGTCAAGTTTGAGGAATTGTTGGCGTACGTGATTCCTGCTGCGCACAGAGGAGGAGGTAAGATTTCATTCACTTCTTATGCTGCCAGTTAGCCAAGCCTTCCAATCCTCTGGAAGCATTCAAGAAACATTTTGCTGTGCATATTTCGAAATTCTCAGCCCTCCCCCCCCTCTCTTTTTGAAGAATGTCCCTCCATGACCGGAAAAAGTTGACACTCGTTGAACTTCGGACCTTTGACAAATCCCAAGCCCTGCCCCAAATCCTACAAAAATGGGCGTAGAAAGGAAAAAATATTAGGTTGGTCAATTATTCCTGCAACTAGCCATTTTTGATTTTATTATTTTCATTACTTCTTTGCTTCATTTGTTCCCAGTGCAATTTGGACTGTCTATGTTCCAGATCTCTTTTACGTAACGACTGGTACTGTAGTACCGTCGCACAATATCGTCGGCTTGCCGCTGGTTCCGCATTCGAAACGCGACTATCAGAGCTTACTGCAGAAAGCCGTCAATCGATACGGTATGCTAATACATGGGAAGCTTGTCAAAGTCTGTGCCGGCGAGTTCCTAACGGTTTCCCTCCGGATTTGACAGAGATAGGGTGTCGTGGTAAAGATTTTTGGATAGAATTTTATTCGGGGATAGACACCGTATTTTATTCTTTGGAATCATAGGAACAATTTTTGGATACGGTTAATTTTTTCATTAATATTTATGTGGACTCTTCTCTCCTGCCGTTTGGCAGTTCTCTGTAGACGGAAGCTTGGTTTTATATGCAAATAGATAGGGTAAGTAAGGTCAAAGAGGGACACTAGAGAAATGGCCGACGGAGCCGTCGTGTGAAGAAGCATTCCAAAAGTAGGTTATAAAAAGGTCGTGTTCGCTGTTTTTTTTTTGAAAGTGATGCTTAGTGTTGGCCAACTCGCCCCTAACTAAATCCGCTCACAAAAAAGCTATTTTACCCAGCATACTCTACAGACTTGAAGGCAATGATACCAATGGCTCGAAGACGGTGCAGATTTGATGACTTCATCCAACGTCATCCGCGGGTAGGGCCCCTGACGCTGCTGAGTTGTACTCGGGACCGCCTCTTCACGCCTTTCCACCTAAGGCCGATGTCAGACTTTGCGAATCGAGCGATTCGCTAGCGTCAGCGGTCGCGTCGCGTACAGCGCAACCACTTGCTGCCACGACGCGACCGTAGGCGTTAGTGAATCACTAGTAGTAAAGTCTTACGATCGATACGCGTCCAATGCTGTGTGCCCGTTTGTTACGATCGGACGACAGACTATGCATGCGCTCTAAGACTCCATCGGACCACACCGTCCCCAGCCGTTGTGAACACTATCCCAAGGAATCATTAGTAGAATTGATTGATATGTGTTCGATTAGGAATGTGATTCGATGAGGGCACCATATAAATACTTTTTGAGTGTAGCTGCAGGGTAAGGCATCACAGACGATTTTGATCACGTTCCAAACGGGGTTATGCTCACCTGCGTTCAGCACTTTGTTTTATGTAGACAGCTGGATGCGTGCTATCAAGCAAAGCTCAGCAGGTAACACGTATGCGGCTCATCAGCCAAAGCCCAGTCGGAGGTTGGCCGACATGTTTGTATCTTTTATGTTTTACAGAGTTTGAAGTGGCCAACTTTTCTAATGCCCTGACAGATGAAATGTGTGAGCTATGCGCCCGAGTGGACCGCGGCTTAACCGCTCCAGGTAATAATGTTTCAACTTTTTTCATGTGCTATTAACTCACTCAGAACTGCCTCCTAGCAAAAGCTACGGACTACGGTATAGGTGGGGAAATTGCGAGATTTCCCAAAAAAATGCTTCTTAAGGTGGCTCGTTACTGCTGGCCGGTCGCCCTGGACTTGGTCGAGCTGACGCGATTCGTCTAATCGCAAATATGCACCAAATGGCTCTCTTCACACCAAAGATCACGCCAAATTACGGACAGAAACAATTTGATTCCGAATTGAAAAATGCGAGTTTCTTGATAATACTCCAGAAACACAACGAGGCAATTTGGCGAAGTCAACGGCGAAAAGCTCTAGCGAAGTGGTCCTGTCTGACTACTTCCCCTTACGCGCTCCGGGAGGGCGAGGGGCGGGCAGTGTGGTCGAACCGCCTCCAACGCCCTGCACCATTGGCATACTCCAGATATCCTCCGCTCTCATCCATGCGAATTTTCGTGCCTTCGAGATGCTGTGAAACACATACCTACTGTTTCAGGCGATACAGACGGCGATTTCTAACAGTGAACACGTAGTGTTTCTCCTCGAAGACTACAAAATCCTGAAACAGAGCTTTCTCGAATCGATTAATTGCCTGATCTCCAGCGGCGAGGTCCCTGGTCTCTTCACACCTCAGGTTGAGACCTTTTTTTCAAACTTTTGTAAAAAAAATTATGACTTGACAATGTTGTATGGGAGGACCAGAAAAATGACCATTTGTTAGTAAAGTAAGAGCGTACTAAGTGTGGAAATTTCTGCCAGTATACGAAGTTCGTACGTGCGTGACAGTGGTCTTAAACTTAGTCGTCGCTGACGAACTCGAGCAAGCTGTTTATTGGATATATTTACTAGGGCAATTTTTCCTGCCGATTAGACTATGTAGAATTTTATGGGATGAATAAAAATCCCAATAAATTCTTTTCAACAGGAGCTTGACTCGCTTTCGACAGCTCTACGAGATCAGGCTAGCCAGGACGGATTTCCAGGGACACACATGCAGCAGTACTTTTCTCATAGTTACGTTGACTTTTGAACTTTTCGCTTCATTATACTTTTGAAATTCCCAGCCATTGAGATAGAGTGTTGAGTTCTCTTTAGCATGGCATCACTAAGATTAAAGCTAATAAGAATCATAAAGCATCATCGTGCTACTCCTTTCTGCTACCATCCTTTACACATGTCGTGGCTCATCGTTTGCTACTCCTTTTTGCTACCCTCCTTTAACACACAATCGTGGCGGGGCTGTAAGAGTCGTAGTGGTGCTTTGGGTGAGTGTTTACTTTCACAATGAATTGCCAAGGCCAGGCGGATGTAGAGGCTAGTGCTGCTGTTCTTTCGGACAAGCTTAGCGTCAATTAGACGCTCACGGGCAAGTTCAAAGTTGATCAAACAACCTGGGGATGGTAGAACTGGGCTAATACAGGACGACATTGAAGCCGTATTTGCCGACATGGCCCCCCGGAATGGGGAAATTGCATTGGCTTGCACTGCACGACCTCAACCATAATTGAAGAATAACATGCTATGAACCATACTGTACCAGTGTTTTCAGAAGGATGCAGTTTTTGCCGATTTTTAATTCTCTATAGTATGAGAAACTCCGCCTTACTTCGATGATCTTCTATTTTTCATACTTTTCTTCATCAACTTTTCAGGAGTTCGAACATTACTTCACGTTGGTCTGGTGTTGGACATTGATGGTGCTGACTTCGAATTGAGAATCACTGCAAATCCGGCGATTTTCAAGCAGTCCAACGTAATCTGGCAGGAACGCTGGAGTGGAACCACTAAAGTGCAGGTAGCCGTGGTTTCTTAGGCACGTGCAAATATACGTATACTCGAAGAGGCTTATAGATGACACTTGAGTTACTTAAAATACGTACATTGTCTGCGAAGCACGGGTTGATTTACGGTTCAATCCCGGGTTTCAATCGAAGGAACATAAGTGAGCTAGTGTTGACCAGTTTTATAAACTATGTGTATCGCGTTTTTCTATGATTGAGGTCACGAAATCATTCGAATGAGATTCTGTTGCAAACAATGAGTTGCATTTTCCGAAAAAAAAAGCTTGAAGCCCGGCGTCAGACTTTGCAAGTCCAGCGATTTGTTAGCGAATCCACGGATTCTCTACCAGCGAATCGCTGGATTTGCAAAGACGCCAGTGGATCCACAGATTCTCTACTAGTAGCAAATCGTTGGACTCACAAAGTCTGACACCGACCGAAGAATAACTCTAATTCTACTTTCTATGCTTATTACTTCCCAATAACAACCTCCGTCTCCCGACGCACACCAGTTGGTGGGCCTTGGAGGATTTAATTTGTTTGAGCGGAGCTGAACTCACTGAGCGCTCAACAAAAGCAAACCTTTATCACACCCCCCTCCCAAAAAAGTTTCCCTCTCTCACCATCCATTACAACGGTGATTTGAGTAATGCCCCAATTCTCATCTAGTGGTGAGGGTAGGCAGAGCGTTCTATAAACGAACTTTCATTGGACTATATTTGGGCGATTTCTTTTCCCAAAAAGGAGAGCTATTCTAGAATTTTCTGACAAATTCCTTGAAACTTGCAAAAATTGCTGTAAACATTTGAAGAAGGTCTGCAAATTGAGGCAGTAGTGATTATATCATAACACTGAACATTGATTGAAAGGAACTAATGAAGTGGTGAGTGGGGTCACTTACTCCAACACGGCCCACAGGTCAGATCCCATGATTTCGCTCAGGTAACCGAACCTTTTCCCTGCTCGATTACTGTTTGCCAAACTTTCCTGGTGCGATAAGAACATCGATTCATACACTGGCTGATCCTTGCAAGTCATCGTATGTGTAGTATCGCATTCAAATAACACTACGGGTATGG